AAAAACTTGAATACAAGTATCCAAATTATAAAGCATATTTATTATCATGCATATGTTCAATAGCACCAATACTATACCAATTTTCTTATTCTAGGAATCAAAGTTAAATAGAGCTAATCAGAGATAACAAAGGCCATATATTTTCAGAGTTGCTAAGGGTTTTCTCCTTTGTGGAACTAAAGTTTGAAATATTAAATCAAGCTGAGGAATGCATACATTCAGCTGGGATTGGGAGTCAGAGAATAGACGGGGGCGGGGCCAGTCAGAGGCAGTATTCACCAGTTCTCCAAACTACCATATTTTCCAGAGTATCAGATGCACCTTTTTCCCTCAAAAAAGAGGGGGAAAATCTAGGTGTGTCTTATACACTGAATACAGAATTTTTGGCCTATCAAAACCCTGACCCCTAGGCAGCCCCCCAGCCCCCAGAAACACTCTACAAGCCTCTCAAAGCTCTGCATACCCCCCCTTTTTTAAAAAAATGTTCCCTTTTTTGCAAAAAATGGCCCTTTTTTGCTCATTTTTGCCCCCTCCCACCTCCAGGAGCACTCTACAAGCCTCCCAAAGCTCTCCATGCCCCCCCCTTTTTTTGCAAAAAACGAGGCATGCAGAGGGTTTGGGAGGCCTGCAGAGTACAAAATTTACCTCTTCAAAATCATGTTGGGTCTTATACTTTGGTGTGTCTTATAGTCTGAAAAATACGGTACTCAAAATTTCTGCTACCAGTTCTCCAGAACTGGTCAGCACCTGCTGAATACCACCTCTGATGTACATACGAATCTCAAGATCTGCAGGCTCTGTCGGAGCAATTTAATCCTATATAGTAATCATTACCTCCCTTAATTCGTAAAATATCTCATAAAGTCATAAATGGCAGAGAAATCCTTCATAGTTCATTTATGATTTACCTGTCTTTGAAGATCATCATTTCTCCTCGAAATTCTGTGATAGCATCAAGTGTTAGATTTTCACTGCATTTCTCAGGGGTTTTTGGATGATCAGGATGGGGATCGTGACCTCCTGAACCTGGGCCAATACATTGTTTATTCATTAAATACAGATTACATATTGTGATCCTATTAGTCCATCATTATTTAGGCATGTCATTCTAAAACTTCGGGTGATGCACTAATAAAATAACATTGGTGGAATGCATGACATTTTTGCATTTCCCCCTATCTCTTCTCATTTACATTGATGAAAACAACATACGAATTTTGTGCTGCTTCCAGTTTTCCCATACTTTCATTAAATCTCTAACCAGAAAATGTTCTCATTGGTGTGAAGTTTTTTTTTCCTTTTTAAAAAAGATGGGATGTGGACATTTAGGAAACTTTCAAAGTTATGGAAAGATGAGTAATGACAAGACCAGCAGTTTGGTACTGCTTCAAAAGAAAGCCAAGTCAATCACATCACCAAGAGAAATTCAAATAAACGCTCAAGCCAGAGGTGGTATTCAGCAGGTTCTGACCGGTTCTGGTGAACCGGTAGAGGAAATTTTGAGTAGTTAGGAGAACCATTAAATACCACCTCTGACTGGCCCTGTCCCCATCGATTCTCTGCCTCCCAAGTCCCAGCTGATCGGGAGGAAATGGGGATTTTGCAGTATCCTTCCCCCGGAGTGGGGAGGAAATGGGGATTTTGCAGTAACCTTCCCCCGGAGTGGGGAGGAAATGGGGATTTTGCAGTAACCTTCCCCCGGAGTGGGGAGGAAATGGAGATTTTACAATATCCTTCCCCTGCCACGCCCACCAAGCCACACCATGCCCATCAAGCCATGCCCACCAAACCACGCCCACAGAACCAGTAGTAAAAAAAAATTGAGCCCCATCACTGNACTCCCAGAATTCCCCAGCCAGCATTCGCTGGCTGGGGAATTCTGGGAGTTGAAGTCCGGACATCTTCAAGTTGCCAAGGTTGAGAAACACTGAATTAGAGGCTGTAGTTCTAAACATGATTGGCATCTTGTTCATGGAGGTTTCTAGAATTGGCAGAAGGTGTTGGGTCCATCAAAACTGAGTGGATCTCAAAGGAAGAGAATGAACTAAGTCAGAAATGAGTACAGATAGCCCTTGACTTATAGACAGTTACTTAGCAATGGACTCCCCAAAAGCTACTTATGACCTGGTTTCAAAGTTCATCTTGTCCTGCCCATCTGACTGCATTTTGCCTGTGTAGCAACTGACCCATAGTTATGGCCATGTGCAATTCCGTATTTTATGTCCACTTTGTTGGAAACCAGCGTTTACTTTCAGTTTCTGGCAAAAACTACTCCATAGTAAACAATGGGTTAATGACTGTGGCATTCACTTAACAACTACCACAAAAAAGGACACAAAATTGAGTCAAGTCACAAGGTAACCCACTTTACGACTATCACAGCTTATTATTGTAATTGCAGGGCATAATTAAGATCGTACTCAAGGTTTACCTTTATCATGGGTGCTACCAAGACATCTCTAAGTGACACTGTGGCTCAGTGGCTAAGATACTGAGCTTGTTAATCGGAAAGGTCAGCAGTTCAGCGGTTCAAATCCCTAGTGCTGTGTAACGGAGTGAGCTCCTGTTCCTTTTCCCAGCTTCTGCCAACCTAGCAGTTCGAAAGCATGTAAAAATGCAAGTAGAAAAATAGGAACCATCTTTGGTGGGAGGTAACAGCGCTCCGTGCACCTTCGGCATTTAGTCACACCGACCACATAACCATAGAGACATCTTCGGATAGTGCTGGCTCTTTGGCTTTGAAATGGAGATGAGCTCTATACTATCCTCCCAAAACCCTATTGTAATGCATTGGCAATAAGATTACCAGTATTCTGCAAAAGAACTATTCAGCTACTTTATGTCAGGAGATTGTTTTCTACAACTTTATATCTAATGGTCATTAGGAATACTGTTTGCGAAATCTGGTTGCCGTAGGCCTCATACCTCAAAAGGGCATACGTGCTGGACAATAGAAAAAAACTATTTTGACAAGGAATAACCCACATGATTGGATGAATGCAAAAATGATGGGCAATAGCAACAAAAGAGGGAGAGCTTTCTCTCTGAGAAACAGTTTTGAGAGAATCCAAAGAGGGCATTTTTTTCCCTCTAGGACTTTAACATCAGTACAAGTATATTAGTGAAAGAGAGAGGGGGAGAGGGAGGGTAGGAAGGAGAGAGAGAGANGTTCTTCATATATTTTAGTCTCCAGTCCCCTAATCATCTTTGTTGCTCTTCTCTGCACTCTTTCTAGAGTCCCCACATCTTTTCTACATCGTTTCTTCCTTTTGTTTCTTTTGGTAGCATTCAAAATAACAGCAATAATCATTTAAGTGTTGGTTTAATTAGTGTTACAGGCTCCTCCAATATTTTTACTTTCCATGAACTGAAATTGTATCTGTTAGCTACATTACCCACCAACATAGATAGGAAAGTTAGGAGTTAGGCTACCTGTTTGCATTTGAAGGCAAACTTTCTTCTTTCTACTAAGGTTTTCAGCCTCCAGGGACTTTTGGGGTCATGAAGGTGGCTGCTGTTATGTCACTAGAAATATGTTCTGATTATTCTCCCCTCCCATTTTTGGAGAAGCTAATACAGGTAGTCCTCAACTAACAACAGTTTTGTTTAGTGACCATTCAAAGTCACAATGACATAGGAAAAAATGACCATTGTCACATAAGTAAACACTTGTGACCATTGCAGCATCCTCTTGGTCACATGAAATCCAGATGCTTGGCAACTGACTCACATTTATGACAGCTGCAGTGTCCCAGAGTCATGTAATCACTTTTTCTGACCTTCTGACAAGCAAAGTCAAGACCGATTCAGTTAGCAACTGTGTTACTAAGTTAACAACTGCAGGGATTCGCTTAAGAAATGTAGCAAGGCAGGTCATAAAATGGGACAAAACTCGCTTAACAAATGTTTCACTTAGCAACAGACATTTTGGGCTCATTGGTGGTCCTAAGTTGAGGAGTACCTGTAGATTTTTTTCCCCCTGGTGCCTTTCAGTCAGTGTTGTTTTTTGACAGCTTCCTAAACAGGTCCCTGTACCAGTGATGGCTAAACTTTTTTGGCTCGGGTGCAAAAAGTGTGTAGGTGTGTGTGTGCCTACACCCATAATTCAATTCCCCCTCCCCTGCATGCCCCCCGCACATGTGTGCATGGTCCCCTTGCTGTCCCACTCCCTGTGCATGCGCGCATGACACCCCCCCTCCTAAAGCTGGGGAGGGTGAAAATTGTCTCCCTCTCCCCCCACCTTAGAGGACCCCAGAAGTCAGAAACAGCCAATTTCCAAACTTCCGGTAGGCCCAGTAGGCCCATTTTTGCCCTCCCCAGACTTCAGAGGCTTTCCTGAAGCCTGGGGAGGGCAAAATGGCCTCCCCTAGGCCCCCAAAAGGCCCTTCGAAGGCTGAAAATCAGCTGGCCTGTGCGCACATTCATGCTGCAGCTGACTTAGGGCAACAGCTCGCGTGTCCTTAGAGATGGCTCCACATGCCACCTGTGGCACAGATGCCATAGGTTCGCCATCACGGCCTTATACCATTCCAGATAAGTGGCTGTCCAGCCTCTTCTTAAACGCCTCCACAGTTTTCTTGGCATCAGAATAAAAGTGGCTTTCAGGAACTTTTTCCAACAGCTCTGGAATTCTTTTCTGAACTTCATCCAAGCATCGACTCTGCTTAGCTTCCAAGGCTAGATAAATGTTAACACCTGAAGCTATGCACGTTTATCTGACTTGAATTCAGCGGAATATACTTTCACCTTTGTGCCAGTAGGAAGTGAATTAATTGATGCCATTGGTATTGATAAGTTAGCACTAATCAAGACAAACACCTCTGCTAGCATTGACTTGGAAATTATGAAGCTGAACAAGGATGGCTCATATTCATGTATTCCTCCCAAAAGTAAAGTCTGCTTATGAAAAAAGTCACTGGTTAAACATTGGCATCAAATACTATTCAGAACCAAATAAAACAAAGGGCCTGGAAATGCTCTTTAAAAACCATTTTAATTACCTTTGGAATCTGTTGACCAAAATTCATCCTCATCAAAATGAGCATCTCCTCCATAACCTGGTCCAGGAGGGAAAGCATGAGCCAGGAGACCAGAAGGTCCATCAAAAGGATAGAAATCACCATGTTCTATAAACATATGGAACAGTAATAAATACCATTAGTATTTTAATTGACAATCAAACCAAACGGTAACCCTTCTATTAACATATAAAAGCAGAAAAGTAAAGAACAGAAGAGCCCTGAAGCTGGACTAGGCCAGCTACAAATGAAGTCTACCACTTCATGTTGCCAATCCAATCTATACAAAAAGTTCTTAAATACAGACAGGACAATGCTAGCCCTCTCCCACCATTGTTTTCCAGGATTTTGGATAAGTTGCTTGTGATTCCAGCATTATCAAGCACCCATGAAAACTAATAGTAATCATGCCCTCCATGGCTTCATCAAGTAGTAATAATGTCCTCCAGCATTACCAAACACCCATCAAAACTAGTAGTAATCATGTCCTCTGTGACTTCACCAAGTAGTAATAATGTCCACCAGCATTACCAAACACCCATCAAAACTAGTACTAATCATGTCCTCTGTGGCTTCACCAAGAAGTAATCATGTCCTCCAGCATTACCAAACACTCATCAAAACTAGTAGTAATCATGTCCTCCATGGCTTTACCAAGTAGTAATCGTGTCCTCCAGCATTACCAAACACCCATCAAAACTAGTAGTATCATGTCCTCCATGGCTTTACCAAGGCTTTATCAAGAAAACACCAATGGCAGCCATTTCCTCACTATTTTTAACAGAGTTGGAGGGAAACCTGTAGGTCATCTAATCCAACCCCCACCCCAAAGAAGGAGACCCTACACCATTTCTGGCAGATGGTACTCCAGTCTATTTACCTCTTCGTCCAAAGGAGATCATGATATCTGCTACGCCAGTACGAATTCTGGTGAAGTTGAGTGGCGTCACATCAGACCAGACTTTGAATGCCTTTCTGAAGGCTCGCTCCACTTCAGACTTTTTCAGATCCGGGGTGTAATTTAAAATCCTACCAAAATCAAAGAATTTTTTTTTTAAAGACTCAGAAAAAATTGCAAAACACTCAATAACAATAATGCGATATTCTTTCTTATGCTTTTGATTTTGAAAACAGAAGCAGTTTTCCTATTTACAGAAAGAAGTAGGTTTCTAGCCACCAAAAGTGTGTGTGTGTGTGTGTGTGTGTGTGTGTGTGTGTGTGTGTGAGAGAGAGAGAGAGAGAGAGAGAGAGAGAGAGAGA